ATCCACTGCCATTGGATCCACAAGAGTGCACCCACTGGCCTGTGATCTTCCCGCTTTCTGCATCATTGCATGTGACTGCACAGAGATAGAGGAGATCTTAAAGCGGATCCAGAGTCATAAAGGGGTGATTGGAACTATGGTTGTCAATGCAGAAAGGTCCATAACGGGTTTATGATCAGAAATGAAAATCGAGTCCCAAATATGAACTCTGACAGGCATCCCGATACGAACTACCTTGGACAACTCGGCCACGGTCCAGTGACGGAAGGCCGGGAGCACAGTCCGAGGCAGCAACCCACAGAACAACTTCACCTTTCTCAGGATCCAGGCCAAGAAACAAGATCCTGGTTGCTGCAGATAAAGAGTACCTCCTGGTTGTCACCCTGAATCCGTGTGAATGGACCTGCTCTCCAGCGAGCCTGTCCTGTGGGGCTGGGCAGAGGGGAGCATCGGCTCTTGAGGGAGGACTCCAGCTGGACGCCTGTCTAGCTGCTCCTTTGGAGTTTGTGTTCTACTTTCACATTTAGATCGTTCCTCCTGTCCCGCATGGATTGTATTACAGAATTGTACCTCAGTGTGTAATAAACAAGCCCTGGTGTTATACATGAAGAGAGGGAAAAAAGAAAACATTTGAAGGCCATTGAATTGAAAGTTTATTTACATGGAGTCCTTGGGTGGGACAGACGGGTAACCTGCTGTCTGCTTCCTGGAAGAGGAGATGTAAGACATCTCTGAGGGGCCTCAGAAGAAAGCATGGTGTTCTCCTTCTGAAACATCAGCCATAGACAACTGTGGCGCATGGTTCTACTCCGAATTGACTGCATAACCAAGTGTGCATCTGGGAGAAAAAAATGGTCGCACATCTCTTGTACAACATGTAAAAATAAATTCTAAGTAAACTAAAATCCTTTTCAAAAACAAACCTGTAGAAGAAGCGTTAGGAGAACTCATACATAGTGTTGGGCTGGAGAAGACCCTGGACAGGAGAGGAAAAGCAACAGTTCTGAAATAACCGAAACTGCCTTTGACCATGTGAAAATGAAGACATTGCGCATGCAGTCAGACGACAGGTCCAGCTAGCAGTTGATACCTGTTACAGAGAACGGCTGCGCTTGTGAGAGGCCTTCTGCTTGTGTCCTGCATGTCTTTTCCCTCCCCTCTGGGTAGTGTTTCCCATTTGCAATGTAATAAACTCTTACATTTAAAATCACCTCATTTCTTATTAATTTAAGTCGCTTCTTAAATGAGAATTTCTTGTGCTTTGTAGTACTCAGTGTCATTAGCAAATTTGAAAGCATGTTCTCTCCCTTTATTTAGTGCTTAGACCAGTCATTTCATTTTCTTGCTTTATTCCACTGGCTAGATTTTCTAAGAGGACATTGATTTAAAATATTATACATACATAATGTATATAATATTTTATTTCTGGTTTTGGAAATAGATGTTTCCTTTCATCAAATACTTTTTTAGAATGTACTGATATTTTTTTTACATTCTTGACTAAAGATTCACATTAGATTACGTTGTACTATGAATGAGTTTGGGACAGTTTTACCATAATCCTTATTTTGCTTTTGCCTTGTCGTGCAGTCCTTTTGCTATTTTGTTTCTGCTATACACTATAATGCCTTCTTTTTTTTAAGTCATTTTAGACTTTTTAAAAAAATCATTTTATTGGGGGCTCATACAACTCATCACAATCCATACATACATCAATTGTATAAAGCACATTTGTACATTTGTTACCCTCATTATTCTCTTATTTTTAAAAAATTATTTTATTGAGGGCTCGTACAATTCTTATCACAGTCCATACATCCATCCATTGAGTCAAGCACATATGTACACCTGTTGCCCTCATCAATCTCAAGACATTTACCCTCTAGCCCTCAATATCGTTTGCTCATTTTCCCCTTCCCTCCCCCCTCCTAAAATGCCTTCTTATATGGTCGAATATTGTCAGGTTTTTTTTTTTAATGTATCAAATGTGACAGTAACTTAGAAATAATTCCTAGTGTGCAGAATGTAAAGGTTTAATGTCATGTACCATTTATATTCTTAAGTGAAAAGAACTGTTATTTTCTTTTTTGTGTTGTCTTTATAAAGTTTTGGCTATCGATCATTAATATTTGCTTTATAAAAAAACTAAATGCTGAAGCCTTTAATCTCTCCCCTCCCCATTCCTCTCCATAAGAGTTTGAATAGCAGGGAGAAGTTGCTCACAACACACTGTGGGTCTACTGTTCGCTGTGTGTGTGTGTGTGTGTGTGTATTATAATAATTTTTCATTGTGCTCTTTACTTATTGAACCACTTAAGAATTGTTCTTGTGTAACACATTTTGGAAATTATGTTTTGCTATGAAAGCCATTCATGTTTCTTTAATCAGCAAGTTAAATTCTCTTACAATTTATTTCGCTTACTAGTGTGTCTTTTCTTTGGCATCTACAGCTGTTGAAATCTTTAAAAGAATTTTATGATCTTTATAACCAAAAATAATTGGTAGAATTGTTGGACAAAATGGTAAGTGGTAAGAGGATGGGGATATAAATGTGGTTTTGAGTTTTCCCTGAGGAAATGGCCTTGTGCTCCCATAGTCTTGTTTGCCTGCCTTGCTCTGGTCCTTCAGCCAAACTACCCCAAACTAGCTTGTTATTTTTATGTGTCAGGATTTTCATGTGCCTTTAAACTTCGTACTGTAATTCAGTTGAGTGGTCCATGAAAAATAAACAAAAACACAAAACCCAATCACCGGATAACTGGGGCTGAAATATCAGTGAGCTTGGTGTCTGGGCTCGTGGTGATGTACCTCTGGTACATTCCCTCAGAGGCTCTGTTCCCTTTCCACAAACAAGAAATCACTCGGCTCCGTTATCGGGTATTTTTGGTTTAGTTTGTGCTGTATCTTTTTTGGTTTTAATTTTTGAATAAGCAGTCCCTTTTGTTGTCACTGCGTCCTGGCCCTGTGACTGTAGGCCTGCCGCTTCGGGAAGGTGTGTAGAGGTTGGTTTGTTACAGACTCGCACCACCGGATGCAGGAGGCTTCACAGAGCCCTTGGGAAAATGTCATTATTGCTGAACTCCATTTTCCACGAACTTTGTGAAGCTCCCTTGTAGTATCATGTCATTTAAAAGAAAATTATTACATTTTATTTTTGTGCAAGTATATAAAAATAAAATTTTACCTTCGTAAGGGGATTGGAGAGGGGGAAGCTGTTATTTTTTCAACTGTACATTTCTGATCAGCATTATATTTTGTTCTTTTCTTCCATGATTGAAGATTCCAAGCAAGCCGCCTTGGGTTGGGGGCATTTTATATAAATCAGATTAGTTATTTTGGGGGACATTATCTCTTTTTAAAACTTTACTTCAATTTTCTTAACTTGGGACTTTAAAAAAATTAGCTATAAGTTTAAAAAAAAAATAGATTTATTGGCACTTCACTCACATATACAATTCAATAGTCCAACCATATCAAAAAGAGTTGTACAATCTTTACCACAATCAATTGTATTTTACCCTGTACTCATGGTTATTCGTGTAATTTTTTTCAATTTTGGCAAAAATATACGCACCAAAATATTCACCAATTCAACAATTTCTACATGTATAATTCAGTGCCATTGATTATACTCTTCCTGTTGTACAACCATTATTGTTATCCCTCTCCAAATTGCTCCAACACCATTAAAATGAACTCAATACCCAAACTGTTAAGTTTTAACTCTTCAGCTTTCCATTCATTTTAATAAAATAAAGTACAATAAGCTTGATTTTCAAACTTCTTTTACTTTTTTAATAAATCAGACACCTTTAAAAAATTATATCTTATTTGGATACTCATTTTAAAACAGACTCTTCAGACCAGTAGTTCTTATAGTTTAACTTGAAAGCGGTAATAAATTATTTGGGTAATGACAAACAAATATGCAGCTGTGGAACTTAAATTTCTGTTATCACCATACTATCATACTTTGAAGTATTTGTCTCTAATGTGCAAATGCCATCTAGTATAGGCACTTAGGAATAGCTATACTGAAGTATTTTTTATTTAACAAATGAAGTAGAGAACTGAGTTTAATAAACTGCTAGATTGGGTTACAACTTAAATGCTTTGTCCGAAAGGTCTCAGAGTGAGGTTGAGACTTCAGATAACTTGGCTGCTTTTATTCTTAACTTTCCTTGTGCTTCTTTTTGGTAAATAGAGAAATCGATTGTGAACTAGCCGGAGTGTGGAGGAGAAGCAGTATTACTAGACTTGGAGCTGTCGGCAGCTTTCAGCTTCTGGGTTTCAGGACTCCTTTAGTCTCTCAGAAACTCTTAAGACCCCAAAGAGCTTTTGTTTGTGTGGGATTTAGCTGTCTCTGTATACTAATGTAGAAATTACAATGGAGAGATTTAAAATTTTTATTATTTAAAAGTATCCATAATAAATAAGCCCAATCATTACTTATTTACTTATAAATAACATTATCTTTATGAAAAGTAACTATCTTATAAAGCCAAGTGAGAAGAGTGATATTATTTTATATTTTTACAAGTTTCCTTAATGTTCAAGGAGTTCAAGACAGAAGAGAATGTTTGGAAACAGACTGTGGTAGAAATTGCATAATACTGCATGATGTGATTGAACATGGAATGGTATCTCTATTGGCTCCCAATAAGATGGTTTGGGGAACATTTTTTCTCTTAATGTGTGCCTTAGTAGAAGTTGACTGGACTCTCCCATCTGCTTCTGGTGACGTCAGACCGTTGCTGGGTCCCAGGTATTTGGAGCTAGCCTCTGGGAAGCCTCTGTGCGTAAGAGATAATGAGCGTGAGCAAGGCCAATGCCATCTTAGAACTATGGTGAAATAGGTCTGACCCCTTGGAGCCTCTGAAAGGGCCGCTGGCCCTGGGCCCACCCTTTGTGAGCCGCTGCTGCGTGCAGTCAGTGAGCTGTGGGATGCCTGCAGGAGGCGGCACGTGCCCCACCAACGCTCTCTCTTTGCTTTCTTGCAGAGTCCTTTGGGCAGAACTATCCAGAGGTAAGACTGGCCGTGTTGTCATGATTTTAGAAACTTCTCAATGATCTCGTGTGTCCCTTTGAGAGAAAACTCTGTGCCCATACTTGTTTTTTGACATTAGAGGCATGAGGTGTGATATATGTATTTTTTGGTTATAATACGGAACTAAAATGCTAAATTTTCAGCTGGGAGATAAGTGGATAGGCACATTTTGGCTGGAAACCCTACCATAATTATTTAAACCTTATAATTCACTTACCTTTACATTTTATAATAAAAAATTTAAGTTATAGGATTTTATCTGCATGTTATATGTGTTCTACTTTTTAAAATATGTTATAACACTTGAGAATGTTTTTAAGTCATATTCACCATAGTCATCATGGTTATTTTAAGAGTCTAGATATTGATGTAAAATTTTAGTTCCCTAATGTCATGCCTGACGGAAATCTGGTGGCACCATCGTTGAAGTGCTCAGCTGCCAGCTGAAAGGTTGGCCGTTTGGACCCACCAGCGTTCAGAGGTAGAAACACGGGGGTGGGGCAAGCTGCAGCCAGAAAGATTTACAGCCCTGGGAGTTCTACTCTGTCATCCAGGGACATGGCCATGAGCTGGGGTCTACTCAGCGGCAGTGGGCTTGGTTTTTAAAGGGTAATGTTGTGCATAAAGGTCACCCCAGGTTACTTAGTTATTTATTTGTAGGATAAATTCTAAGGCGTTTTGATTTTTAGGCCAATAGGTATGATTTTTAAAATGACTTTTGTAATGTCCTTAACTGCTCTCCAATTAAAAATTAGATGGAAAAGTTTTTTACCAAGTTGTATACTAATATGAGATCCATCATACTTGATTCTAAATATCCTCTATTAACTTTTACAAATTTTTCTTCCTTTTGACTAGTTTAATAGGAATAAAAAGATGCATAGAGATTATTTTGATATACATTGCATTTTAAACTTAAGACAGGTAGCAACGATGATGGATAACTTGTAAGATACCTGGCTTTTATTGTCATTATTCTGTTACTGTCTTGTATTCGTTTTAATTTTCAGGAAGCTGATGGTACTTTGGACTGCATCAGCATGGCCCTGACTTGCACCTTTAACAGGTGGGGCACACTTCTTGCAGTGGGCTGTAACGATGGCCGAATTGTCATCTGGGATTTTTTGACAAGAGGCATTGCTAAAATAATTAGCGCACACATCCATCCAGTCTGTTCTTTATGGTAAGGCATTTTTTTCATTTATATGTTAAATATGAGATAAGTTAGAGGAATAGATTGTGATTGTATCTTTGCTAATCTCAATGTATACATTTTAGTACTTAGCGTTTTAATCATTTAGGCAATAGTAGTATGCTTTCTCATTGTTTATGTATACCTTGAACCCACATATGCCTTGGAAGGACCTCTGCAGGGAGAAACACAGGCTAGTCAATACGGACTCCTTGAGAATATTGTAATGCTAAAGTGAGATGTTCACAGATTGCAGCTGTGCTGTGGTTGCAGTGAAGTAAAACCAAATCCATTGTCATTGAGTCAGAGGGACCCTATGGATGGAGTACAACTGCCCCTGCAACTTTCCACGGCTGTACTTTCTTTCTTTAAAAATTTTTTTAAAATCATTTTATTGGGGGCTCATACAACTCATCACAATCC